GGTCATTTTTGGGTATTTTTTGGGTGGTTTTGGGGGTGTATTTTTGGGTCATTTTTGGGTGATTTTTGGGGTGGTTTTTGGGATTATTTTTGGGATGTTTTTTGGTCATTTTTGGGTGTTTTTTGGGTGGTTTTTGGGTGATTTTTGGGTATTTTGGGGTGATTTTTTGGGTTGTTTTTGGGTGATTTTCTGGGTCATTTTTGGGTCATTTTTTGGGTGTTTTTTGGGTGATTTTGGGGTGTTTTTTTGGGTGGTTTTTGGGTGATTTTGGGGTGTTTTGGGGTGGTTTTTTGGGTTGTTTTTGGGTGTTTTTTGGGTGATTTTGGGGTGTTTTTTGGGTGGTTTTGGGGTGATTTTGGGGTGTTTTTTTGGGTCATTTTTGGGTGATTTTGGGTCATTTTTTGGGTGTTTTTTGGGTGTTTTTGGGGTGGTTTTTGGGTGATTTTGGGGTGTTTTTTTTGGGTGGTTTTCGGGTTATTTTTGGGTGGTTTTTTGGGTGTTTTTTGGGTGATTTTGGGGTGATTTTTGGGTGTTTTTTGGGTCATTTTTGGGTGGTTTTGGGGTGATTTTTGGGTCATTTTTGGGAGGTTTTTGGGTGATTTTTGGGTGATTTTTGGGTGATTTTGGGCTGGTTTTTTTGGTGTTTTTGGGGTGTATTTTTGGGTGTTTTTTGGGTGTTTTTTGGGTGATTTTGGGGTGGTTTTTTGGGTGTTTTTGGGGTGTTTTTTGGGTGACTTTGGTGTGTTTTTTGGGTCATTTTTGGGTGTTTTTGGGGTGGTTTTTTGGGTGTTTTTTGGGTGTTTTTTGGGGTGATTTTGGGTCATTTTTGGGGTATTTTTTGGGTGATTTTGGGCTGGTTTTGGGTCATTTTTGGGGCCCCACCTTTGCGCGCCTCCTCCTCCAGCTCGTCCCAGTCTTTGCCGCTCTCCTCCTCACTGCCCAGAGAGTCCTTGGAGTATTCTGGGGAAAAATCGGGAAAAAACGGGAAAAAAATGGGAAAAATGGGAAAAATGGGAAAATCGGGAAAATGAGAGAAATAATGGGGAAAAATGGGGAAAAATGGGAAAAAATGGGGGAAAACGGGAAATGGGGAAAATGGGAAAAATGGGGAAAATGGGAAATAATGGGGGAAAAATTGGGAAAATGGGGAAATGGGGAAAAATTGGAAATGAGAAAAAAATGGGAAAAATGGGAAATGGGGGAAAAAAGGGAAAAATGGGGAAAAATGGGGAAAAAAACAGGGAAAATGGGGGAAACCCAGGTATCCCAGGTGTCCCCAGCTGTCCCCAGGTATATCCCAGGTGTCCCCAGGTATATCCCAGGTATCCCAGGTGTCCCCAGGTGTCCCCAGGTGTATCCCCAGGTGTGCCCAGGTGCACTCACCTGACTCCTCGGCCTCAGAGGAGTAATCTTCATCGCTGTCCTCCTCCTCCTCCTCGTCCTCCTCCGAGGGGTTGAAGGTCTCGTCCTCCAGCTCCGACTCCGACTCACCTGGCTCCGCCTCCGAGCCCTGCCAGGTGAGACAGGGGCACAGGTGAGGGGGGGGGGCGGGGCCTCAACACACCTGGGAGGGGCCAGGGTGCGGTGTGGGTGTGTCCCCAGGTGTGTGGGTGTGTCCCCAGGTGTGTGGGTGTGTCCCCAGGTGTGCCCAGGTGTGTGGGTGTGTCCCCAGGTGTGTGGGTGTGTCCCCAGGTGTATCCTCCCTGTGCCCAGGTGTCCCCACCTGTTCCCAGGTGTGCCCAGCTGTCCCCAGGTGTATCCCAGCTGTCCCCCAGGTGTCCCCACCTGTCCCCAGGTGTGCCCAGGTGTATCCCACATGTATCCCAGCTGTGCCCAGGTGTATCCCACCTGTCCCCAGCTGTCCCCCACGTGTACCCCAGGTGTATCCCAGGTGTCCCCAGGTGTATTCCAGGTGTGCCCAGGTGTATTCCACCTGTCCCCACGTGTCCCCAGGTGTACCCCAGGTGTCCCCAGCTGTATCCCAGGTGTCCCCACCTGTCCCCAGCTGTCCCCAGGTGTGCCCAGGTGTATCCCACATGTATCCCAGCTGTCCCCAGCTGTCCCCCAGGTGTACCCCAGGTGTGCCCACCTGTCCCCCAGCTGTCCCCAGGTGTGCCCAGCTGTCCCCAGGTGTATCCCAGGTGTCCCCAGGTGTATCCCACGTGTACCCCAGGTGTCCCCAGCTGTCCCCAGGTGTACCCCAGGTGTGTCTCACCTCCCCCTCGGGCTCCAGGAAGCTCCACCCCCCCTGCTCGAAGAAGCCCTCGGGGTCGTCCACGATCGTTTTCATGATCTTGGTCCAGTT